CAATGAATTTCTCTTCCTCTCAGGATCTTGTCCCTTTAAATCAGGCTGCCCTGATAGCCCTCCAAAACCTTCAGCAGCTTCTTAAGCAGTATTTTGTCAAGCTTGTCAAGTTGTTCCTGGTGGGAAGATCAGTCCACACGAGTCTGTTACAGCCAGCGTTGTTTACCCGTGGTGTTTGTAGCAAAGCCACATGGCTTAACAGCTGCAGAGCTCTGGGGCTGTGCAGCAGTCTAAAAGCCCACTAAGCTTCAGGGCAGAGACCAGCTGCCACCAAGAAAAGCCCAGTCAGCTGTTCTTCCAAGTCAGCCATAAGCAAAGCTCAGGGAAAATCAAAGAAGCAGGTCCTTGGCTATCCTAACACCCCTAGGAGAAGCAGATGCTTGATAAAGTCTGCTCTAAAGAGTAGCTCTGGTCTATGCATGGAAATTTCAAAACCTCTGAATTTTCACTATATTTTTTGTCTCATTGTTACACCATAGAAATATTATAAAACAGGAAGCAATACCCTCTCACCTATGGAGATAAGTGGAGACTGATAGGGTTAGTCCATCAGCTTGGGCTGTGTCTGTGCTATTAGTTGAAATATCTTAATAATCAAAGCCTCTGCCTCTCTCCCAAATACACACACACACACATCCATACACCCCAAAACTCTCTAAAATTCGTACATGTACATTTAAATATAGGGTACAACAAGAGAAATATCACAAACACTAATTTGAAAAGATACATGCACCTGGTTGTTCACAGCAGCATTATACACAAAACCCAAGATATAGAAGCAACCTAAATGCCCATCAGCAGATGAATGGATAAAGATGTGGTGTACACACACACACACACACACACACACACACACACACACACACAGGAATATTACTCAGCCAGGAAAAGAATGAAATTCTGCCATTTAGAGCAATGTGGATGGACCAGGAGAATATTATGCTTAGTGAAATAAGACAGATGCTGTATGACATCACTGATATATGGAATGTAAAAAATAACAGAAATAAATGTATATGCAAAGCAGAAACAGACTCATGGATACAGAAAACAAATATGTGGTTACCAAAGAGGAGAGGGAAAGCTGGGAGGAACAAATTAGGGGTATGACGTTAACAAGATTAACAGATACAAACTGCTATGTATAAAATAGATAAACAACAAAGGTATATTGTATAGCACAGCGAATTATAGCCGTCATCTTATAATCACTTATAATGGAATATAATCGGCGAAAGTACTGCATCACTATGTTGTACACCTGAAACTAATATAATACTGTAAATAAACTATACTTCAATTAAAAAAAGAGAAAAACCACAAACTTGTTTCAGCTTAATTGGGCTAAAATACTGTAAGAATCACTTTTTATTTTGTGAGTTTTCAGGTTGCTTTTTTTTTTAAAGAAAAAGCAAAAATTGAATTTGACTAAACACTAAATATGTAATTAACACAATAGTTAATTACTGTAATAAGTCAGAGTAACAGAATTAGAAAAAAATTTATAAAGACAAATATGGTCACTCATTTCTTTTCAGTTTTAATGAATTCCATCCCTTACTATCTCTAATGTATTCTAACTTCTGGATTTTTCATTTTTCTGGATTCTTGAAATTAACTTAAAAGTTCATAGAAGAAAACAAACAGCAAAAAACAAAATTTAAAATAATGTGAACTTTTAAACCATATATTAAATAGACTTTTGTAACAGGCATTTACCAGCATTTCAGTGTCTGCTCCTTACATAATAACTGTATTATAATGCATTTCTGCCCAAGTAATTTGATTCTTTCCTTCTTTTAAAAAATCAGGTCCTATTTTAATTGTGGTAGAGGATTTTACTATGTAAGCAATCCTGTAACAAATGCACAAAGAAAAATAATTTTTTTGGTAAAGTTGGCTCTTCCTTTTCATTTATGCTTTCCAAGTTTAGAATATCCATCATAAAATTAAAAAAAAAAGATTTAAAAATTTTTATTGAAGTGTAATTGATTTACAATGTTAGTTTCAAGTGTACAGCAAAATGATTCAGTTTTATATATATACATACATACATATTTTTTCTTTTCAGATTATTTTCCATTATATGTTAGTACAAGAAATTGAGTATAATTCCCTGTGCTCTACACTAGGTCCTTGTTTCTGTTTTATATACAGTAATAGGTGTCTGAAACAAAGCTACTTTTGAGCAGGTAGAAATGATAAGTAATTCTGACACCCTATTCAAGAAAATGGAATTATATTTGAAGTCATATGACGGAGTTTGAAAACAAAGTTAGAGCCTTTGATATTAATAAATGCATATTCAGCTAAATTAACATTTGGTGTCTATAATCCTTTATAAGTTGGTTGTCAAGAGAGTTGCTTCCTAGGAGGGACGTCTGCCTCCCTTTGGTCCTGAGAAGCAGTCCTCAGTCTTTAAGTTTTCCCATCAAGGTTGCAGCCACATAAACTCCTTTTTAATCCTAAGGTTAAATGTTGTCTTATGTGTCCCCTGAGTTCTTATTCTCTTTATTCACTTTCCTTGGTAGTTGTCTAAAGCCAGGACCCTGCAGGTTATTTTGCTCAGAAATGTTTAAGCCAGACTGCCAAAAACCTCTTCCTGTAGCTTTTGAAAAACCATTTCTCAGATGTATAGGAATTCTTATTTATCGAAAATCTGCATGAATCTAAAATTAAACACAACAACAACAATTCATGTTGAAAAGAATTTATAAGGAAGGAAACCATGGCAACAGAATCATTTATTTTTAAACCGCACCAACCCTTATCTCTCCCTTCACCCCAAGACAAAGTGCACTTAAGCCGTAGTTTTTTCCGTGATGCCTTATTCGCACTGTAATTCTGCAAGAGTCAAAAATAGCCACAGGAATTGTCATATTTATATTAGTAAGTACTGTGCAAGCCAGGCTTCTCTCCCAGTTTACTCACTCATGTTAGCCTGCAAATGGCCTTGGAGGAACTTGCGTGGTGGTCAAGGGGAGGCTCAGGTAATGCATCCTACAGGGTCAACACTGCTGTTGATGCCAAGGACAGGCTCTCTAGTGGGGAGATTAGAGCCCTGATTTAATTACTCAAGGAGTCCACGTCTTATCGGAAGTGAGCTGGCACGCTGGGCAAGAGCAGGTGCAACTGCAGCAAATTTCGATGTAGCTTCCCTTGGCTCCCAGGGGCCCTGTCTGTGCGCTGTATCTAGAAAGCTGTTTTTGCTCTCCCGTGGCCTTTTGTATCACTGGCCGACACTCCATCACTGTGCCAGGACTCACAGTGTATGTGCTTCCTTAAGCAAAGGATTACAAACTTCAGGCAAAGACTGGTTAAAATGTCTTAAAAGTCCTCATCAGAAGCTTTCAACTGACTGATAACACTGGAAAACATACGCATATTTTCCAATGGATAATTTTGAGAACACACTTTCCAGACTGGTATATCTTTAAAAATCTACTATCCTCTTTTTAATAAATACCAACTGATAGGATATGGTATTTGAAATGTGTCTTTCCTAATTCCTTTGTCTATTCTGATTTCTGTTAGTTCAGCTGCATGAAGAATTTAGGGTGTCCAAAGATAAGGGTTCATTCCTCATTGATTCAGTTGAGCTGGTCACCCCAGAAGAGCCCAAAGGGAAACACAGACTTCAGTTTTGAAGATCGAAGCCCTGGGTAATAGAAAGAGGCACAAGGATGTATTTGAAGCCATGAAGGGCATTAACCCAATAAGCCAATTGAATCACATGGAAAATTGATCTTATATTTTCTGAAATAAATTGAAAATCTGAGAGTTACAAGGATGCTGGCCCACTGTCTGTGAACCATACACTACGTTAAATCAGAGCCTGCAGATAGCCCCCATCTGTAATGTACTGGTAACGTCCAGAGGAGCGCAGAGACATCGTGTCCTCATCGCTTCGTTCTAACTCCTACTTCGTTCGGTCCACTTGTTTCTATGGCCCATTTCCCAGGACTTCCCCCCATTAGGTTTGTCTGTAGGTCAGCTTGCCTGACTTTGTTTCACTGAAGGCTTTCAGGGTATGAACGAGCCGAAAGTTACCATGTATATTTACACAAAAGCTTTGGCAAGTTCTCACCTAGACGCTTCATGAAAAGAATGAGTATTTTCCAGTGGCATGAAGTGGCTGGGTTTCTCTGAAGTAAGGAAAACAAGAAAAACATTGTTCAGAAGTATTTTTTTGGAATCAGACAAAGCCAAAAGTATCTGATTTTTCAGCTTCAGTACAGAGAAACAAAACCTTTCTCTTTGGAGAAATTATGAGGAGAAAAGCAGGAATTTTATGCCGTTTCTCTATTTCCAGCCGCAGCAACTTTATATCTGTGATTGCTTCTTTGTTTCCAGTATTTTCCATTTTTGGTAGCAGCTCTGAGGATTTATTCAGCAAATATTTATTTTGCCTTTACAAAATCTGAGCCCCACTGCCCATGATAAATGATAGGTGTAGAGCCTGGCTGTGGAAGCACAGAAATGTGAGGGGGTCCAGGTGCAAATAAGGGTTTGAATAGCCATCTCTCACCATCCCCAGAGAGACCCACAAAAAGAAAGCGGTTTATTCAGCAAGAAAAAAAAATAATAAGAGCACAAAATAGAAGGACAGAGAACAGATTTTTCCCCCTAAATTTGTAAAGTATTGCTAAATGACCATCCTTGAAACAAACCAAAATTTGACATTTATAATTCAGCAAATAGATAAGAAAAAAACAAAAGAATATCCTCTCTGAGCCTGTGGTCAGCTTTATCAATTTGGATACTTTTGCATTGAAAGAACAGCTAAGAAGCTGATAAAACTAACGATTTCTATTATTTGGATGTGACATTGGCAATTTATTAAACACACTCATTAGGTAAGCAAGTGGTGGGGGAAATTTTAAAAAGTCTGATGGAATTGCTTTTAGACATTCAAGGTGTGCCCATTCTTGGGAGGATGTAAATATTTAAACTCCTTCCTGTTGTCAGCAAATACTTTAATGAAAAGACTGCTGAAGTGAGCATGAAGAAAAACTGAAGATTTGTACTTCGGTATTTTGTTTACAAGCCAGTTTATTCCGAAATGGATATTCTAAAGTGTCTGACGTGGAATAAGGTAACAGTACTTAATATGTGAGGCCATCGAGGCAAAGGGGAAAGCAGGGTAGGAAACATCTGAGATTAAGCCAAAGGAGGGCGGGGGCACACAAGGTGTGGGTGTCATGAGGTTCTGCCCCCTGCCAGGAGAGAGCCACTGCGGGGCCCCTGAGCTTTCTAGACACCATCCTAAATGGGAAACAAGCACTTGATTCACACTGTCCGTGAGCTAAATCTGGAGCAGTCATTCAGAAGAAGCATAATTATTTCTGGTACTTAGACTCGAGAGAAATTTCTCCCTCCCATGGGTCCTCATAAAGAAGCCAGTGAGTCATCTGGTGAATGTCCTGGAGAGTGTCCCCAGTGGGGGTGGGGGTGGGAGCCAAGACAGTCCATGGAGGAGCTGCCTCTTCAGACCCCTAGGGTCTCTCATCCACTCTGCCACTCAGTAAATGAAGTCACTTAACCTCTTGGTGACCGAGGTGCTTCAACTGGAAATCAGGGGCTTGCGTGACCTCTGGGGCTCCATGTAGCAGTAAAATTCTGTTTCATGGATACTTATCATTATAGTATGTCCTTAAAAAGTTCAGCTTGCTACAATTTCCTTTTTTCTTAGAAGGGGATATTTCAATATCCTTGAAATACAGCTATGTACATGCGTTTGTGTATATGTATTGAAACTTCTTATTCATTGAGCTGCTGTTCTGGACAGGGTCCAGGAAGGAATCTACACCAGTAATTTGAAAAGGGAATATTTACTACAAAAGAATTAACTGGTAGCAGATACACAGCCTCTAAGAGGGGATAAGGGAGAACTCAGAGAATCCCCTGGGGCTGGGAGGCAGTACCCAATGTAGGAAGGTAACCGGGGTGACGGTGGGACATCCTCGCCAACACAGATTTAGGTGAGGGTGTGGCTGGACCCACTGTACCATCTGCTCTCCTGGGTCTCCAGCCTGCTGGTCCACACTGTGGATTTGGACTTGTCAGCCTCCATATTTGTGTGAGCCAATTCTTGACAATAAATCTCTTTCTCTGTGTATTATACTTCCTTCTCTCTGGAGAACACTGCCTGACACAGATTTTGGTCAGTAAGGATCGGTAAGAAAACACCATGTGGATACTTTTTAAGGATTTAATCTCTATCTCAGTGGTTCTTGACTGGAGGCAGTTTGGGGACTTTGAGCAGTATCTGGAGGCATTCTTGGTTGTCACCACTTGGGGAAGGTGATATTGGCATCTGGGAGTAGAGACCAGTCTGTATCTATAATGAAAAAGTCAGTCCTCCACCACAAAAATTGTCCTCTCCATGTTGTCAAGAGTAGCAATGTTGAGAAGCCCTGCTCTGTCTGAATGGATAGTAACAGAAATATTTTAAGCAGACCTGGGTGTAGGGGGTTGGGGTGAGGTATTGGGAGAGGAGAGCAGTAAGACTGATGTTTTGCATTTGAAAAATGTCTTGCTCTAGAGGAAGTCCATAGTAGGTATACACTGAGATCAAAGGGGTCTTAAGAAATACTGCAGTCAATACTAGCCTTGTAAAACCCTAAGTAAAATTTGTTTGTTGACTATCTTTCATAGTATTGTTATTTTAAAATCACAGCTATAAAATTCTATACCCTGTCTTTCAGGAAGAAGGAGAAAATGAGAGACAGCTTTATTTAAATGGCTTAATGTAGGGGAAACAATTGAGGCATGGATAACATCCATCATCGAGTGATCTTATTCAGAAATGATGTGTCACAGATTTCTGTGAAATTAAAGGTTCCATTTATTTTCTATTAACTCAACTTTTAGACTTAAAAACATTTTCAGGTAAGCATGCAACAAATTCCTTCAAATTTCCATATGGTTAATTAAGTTTTATTGAAGGCTCACTCTGCAGGAAGTCATAAATACCCAGTGGAAAGGTAATGAAGACTAAATTCTGAGATTTCTAATTTGAAAGCACAGGACCCTTAGCTGAGATCTGAGGGGAAAAGATCCTGACTGCTGTTGGAAGTTTTTTGGTATTGTGGTGAGAGATGTGAAAATTAGGAACAAGGACATTCGGATAGCATGAGATGTCACATGGTACGCCATAGAATATTCAGATAGCATAGGATATCACACTACAGTTTGTACCTGATCCAATTTACCCTACCTCAAATCTAGTAAGGGTAATATTTTAACACCTTTACTTGAATCTTTTCTGTCTAGAGATCACAGAAACTGTAGATTGCAGATAAACTTCTAGAAACAGATTTAAGATTTTTTTAAAAGGAGATTCTGTTTTCAAGTCTGTTTAAAATGAATTATAAATACTGAAAAACCTCTTTTGCAGGGGTTTTAACTAGACTTGTTTGAGTAGTTGGCAAACCCTTAATTTTCCTTCGAAATTCTCATTGAACTAGGTGGATTCCCTACCTAGACCCACTTCATCAGTGTGCCAGGTTTCACTGTATTTTCAAAGTAGCAAGCACTTCTTTAGATCCAGGAAAGAAAAAAAAGGTGGATTTCCACTATACAGCCAGTGAAAACAGCTAAAAATAAAACTATCCCCCAAATTAATATTGAAATACTCTTATCTTAATGCAAAAAGAAAAAAAAATAAGAATCTCCATGCTGGCTGGGAAAATAGGTAGCCATAAAAATATTCCTTAAGTAGACAAATCCTAGAGTATTAAAATTCAGGAGATTCCATTTGATAAGAAAATATACATCATTCTTTGCTGTGTTGAGCCTTCTCGACACTTTTGTTAATCTGTATCTTTAAGCTTCTCTTCCCCCATTATTTGCTTCAAATAAAAAAGAAACAAACTAGAGTATTAGAAAGGAAAACGGGTGAAAACTCAAATCACTTGATGGTTACCAATCAGTGGTGTCGCTTAGATACTTAGCAGTTGAGATCATAAAGACTGAGTAATATTTGGGACTTAGAAGTGTATTTACTAAGTACCTGAGTATTCAATCCAGAGGGCATAGGTGCAAATTTTTAAAACTACGAGCTGCCTACGTTCCGCTGCTGTCCTTGAATTGGCCCCAGAGTTCTCCATTTTACTCCCAGTGTTTACACATACTCACCTTTCACTCACAATCCTGATAAGGGGAATTGCATTTCTTTGGTGATGGAAGCAATTTAGATAGTGGTTAAAAGGAAGTGTTGGTGAACACTCAGCTGCAGGGGTGATGTCTGCGATTTTTAATGACCGGCCTGGGAAGAATCAGAAGCACCATTTATAACAGTGCCCACCTTCCTACCTCTTGCTACATCACATTTTAAATCAAAGGAAACAAAGATTTTAAAAGAGGGAACATGAGGCCAGCTGTTCACAGTGTAGTCCCTGAAATCAATCTACTCCCCTGGGGGACACTTTAAATGTAAGACATTTTCCTTCTAGCTTGGTGACTTTTTTTGTTTTGGTTTTTGACACTTTGCTCTTTGCCAGATTGTTGGCTGACAAACTATTTTTAAACATTTATGTGACTTCTGCTTATGTATTCCAGAGGGGAAGGACCTTTTGTTATAGGTAGTAAAAATCAAGCGAAACAGACAGTCAGGGTTGTGATTTGCCAGAGGTCAGAGGTCATGACAAGTGAATGACTCCAGGGGCCTTGAGGTCAGAGGTGTAACTGCGGTCCCATGACCCCAACTCGGCTTTTTACATCACAAAAGAGGGCAGTGCTTTCCTAACTTCTGTGCGGGCATGTACAGGCAGGTTCACGTTTTTCCTTGAAAAATTATTTCAAAATGATTCTGCCCATGATTATTTTTTCCCTTGAAAGAAACCAAGTGGCATGAAATAAGCTTTTATATAAATTGAATGTCTCCTTAGCCTTCTATTAGTATTCCACATTGGCAAGCCAGCAGACGAAGAACTAACAGAGATGAATATGTGTTTTTTTCTTAAATGGAAAATAAGCACATTTTTTAGAAGATCAAAACCCAAGCCAGGAAGTGCATTTATCTTCTTTGTTTTCTTTTCTAATCCCAAGTGTATTTATTGAATGTATCTAAAAAATTGTTTTTCTTGAGAAAATAACAAAGAGCAATAGTGATCTCTCCTGCTTTCTATTTGGGATATTTCTTTATGCTAAACTCAGGTCCCACTTAGGTTTTGTAATAGGAACTATTCTGGTATTATAATGTGTTTTTTCTTTTTCTTTCTTTTTTTTGGGTGCTAATTTGTAACAAGTCAAATTTCAGTGATGCCAAGGCCACCGTTTAGGTCAGAATGTGTGCGGCAGATCTCACGATCTGTTTATTAGTGGCTGTAGCTGTCTAAACTATGTAAACTGGAGGGAAAATGCAAAACCTTACTTTTCAACTCCATTGGTTTCTAACCTCTCATGAGCACTTAATTCCTCGTAGAGAAGGAAATAGTCACGCTGTAGAATCCTGTGGCCCATGAAGGGTAATTGGATAACATCTTTTGAAAGATTTACAAGGCTGCCAAGGATTTTGCCAGCTTTAAACCTGATTGATTCAGTGTGAAAAGATCTGAACAATTCTGACCTAAAAGTTTAAAGGCAGACCTTTCCTGTGAAAGTATAATTTAGAGCCTGTAATAAAATTGTATTGGAAAACACTACATTGAAGAACACAGCCATAAATTGCAAAACAGCATTATGTTAAAGGACATTTTTTTCCCTTAAGTCCTCTGAAAGAACCCTAATTGTTCACCAGATACTTTAATAATGAGGTGTTTGGGGTTTGGCTTTTTTTTTCCCCCCTGGAAAAAGTTCCTAAAGAAAGGCAAAACTAGAAGACTAGCCAACTATTTTGCCTCCCTAACTAAAAAGTTTGACTTCTAGCTTATACATACAGATGGAATTTCTACAACTTTTTCCTTATTAGATAAAATAAAGAAAAGCGAAATTTCATTTATCTTTAACAAACAAAGAGGAGACCAGACAGACTTGTTTTTGTATTTTAATTTTTCAAAGTGCTGATTCTCATCATATATTAATTTCCATTTTGACAAAATGTGTACACTCATAATTAGTGCGGTATTTCGTGGGTAGGCGCAAATGCTTGTG